AAACGGTTGAAACAAACATAAATTAAAATTGAACGGCCAATCTGAAAATAACAAAAAAAAGGGGGGGTTTCATTTAAAAAACCAGAGTTGGTAACTACCACACGTTTATGATGCACCCTGTATATTGGAAAGTAATTTTAGAATGTGGACCTTTTAAACGTGAAAAACTTTCGTTGGACGAATTTTCTTGTAAACTTCATATTTACTGAGATATCGCACTTTGACGCACTAATGAGCAACCCTGTATATCATATTTAGAGTCGCGTTTAACAAAGAACAAACTGTTTTAACCACAATTTTTGCAGTTAATAATTGAAAATGTAAACATTGTTGAATTGTAGTCCAAAATACTTCTTTTTACCTTCTGTGGCTCCACCTGGAGAATGTCGATTTACTTACCGACCGTAGCAGCAGAAGCTGTAAATACTGCAAATTATTTACGTAACAGGAGTGCTATTAGCGGCTCAAATAAAACACCGTATGAACTATGGCATGGAAATAAACCTGATCTCTCTGATATAAGTATCTTTGGAAGTCGAGTTATGACTCACATACCAAAAGAAAAACGACTCAAATTTGACAAAGTCTTACGAAGGAATACTTGTGGGTTATTTAGAAGTTATCAAAGGTTATAGAATTTACAACCCGCAAGCAAAGATTTTATTATTTACGATAATTCAAAATTAAAATCTGATTGCGAAATAGTAATTGAAAATCAGGAAGATCTACCTTCAGTGGGGGAGGAACTTTCAACCAGTGCTGCAGAAATTTTGACACAACGTAAAGAATGCTCATGAATCTCAAGACTTGAGTGATCCTGATTATTTACCGGATAAGAAATTTGATTATGATACAATTGCGGTTAGAAGATCTCAACGAGAAAGAAAGGCAAAGAAATTCAGTGATTATGTCACTTATCTTGGTGCAGCGACGGGAACAGTCAAGGATAACTCTTCAACGCTTGTAAAGGATCCAGTTGTAAAGTGTAAATGATACTCTATCAAGCCCAGATGCAAGCAAATGGAAGCAAGCGATGGCTGAAGAAATTGCAAACTTGGAGGAGAATGGAACTTGGGACTATGTAGACTTACCTGATATTGCCGCAGCAGTGGAGTGCAAATGGGTATTCAAGATTAAAAGGGACATTGAAGACAATAAAACTTACCGCGCTAGATTAGTAGCAAATGAGTTTACGCAAAGAGAAAGAGTAGATTTCAATGAAACTTTTTCGCCTGTGGTAAGACACTCAAGTTTACGCTTATTAATTGCTTTGTCTGTAGAGCTAAATTTAGATATTATTCATTTGGATGTTACAACTGGATTTCGGCATGGAAAATTGAATGAAACAACTTTTATGAAACAACCAGAAGGTTTTTTAAATCGTAATTATAAGAATAAAGTTTTAAAGTTGAATCGTGCGATTTATGGATTAAAACAATCTTCTCGTGTATGGTATCAAAAAGTTGAAAATGTTTTGAATGATATAGGTTATAAGAAATCGCAATATAAACCTTGTGTATTTATAAAGTTAAATAATGGTTTAATGACCGTGATCGCTTTGTATGTTGTTGATTTTTTTATCTTCTCTAATGATCGGTCAGAAACTATTAGTTTGAAACAAAAGATAACTGCAAATTTTAAATTGAAGGATCTAGGGGAGGCAAAACAGATTCTAGGGATGAATGTTTGTATTAGTAAATCTGACGGTGTTTTTACGTTAGATCAACAACATTATACCAAAGTGCATTAAAATTATCCTTAAATATCATGTTTTCCAAACGATCTAAGCACATAGATATACGCCACCATTTTATAAGAGAAACTATTGCTAATAAAATAGTTAGAACTGAATACCTGCAGACTAATGAAATGCCAGCAGATGTTCTGACAAAAGCGTTAAGTAATAACAAGCATTAGAAGTTTTTAGATTGTTTAGGTGTAACATTAAAAACTTGAGTTGTTCTCATTTAGATGTATGTTTAGCATTTAGAATCATATATGTAAACGAAGAAGGGAAGAATTTTAGGACTAGTGGGGGTGTTGAATTGTAGTCCAAAAGACTTCTTTTTACCTTCTGTGGCTCCACCTGGAGAATGCCGACTTGGCAACACTGTTCATTGTCAATAAAGTTAGTCTATTCTCAGATACCGAAGAACATGTGTGTTTATTTTTACTCCCGAAACTAATCGAACTTCCAGAATATCATAATTAACATCACATAAAAAATCATTGCGCTTGAACATATGGCCTAGGCCTGATTCTATATACCGTCTGTCACATATTGCACCGTGGATGGCCGAGTATCAAACTCTTTCTTCTGCTTCCAACTTTTATTCCATTCGGTACAACTTCAACTATGGAACAGGAACAAACTAACTGCAAAATTACCTTCAACTTCACAAACGATAACAATAACACACGGAAAACACGCGTTTCCGACTCGCGGGGTTTAACCTTCTTCTGCACTCCGTCGCTGCTGTCACTTCACTCCCCTGTGTGGTTCTCGTCGTCGCTTATATAGTTTCCTCCAGGTATCCCAGATAGTTCT